GGTGGTATTAGGGATTGAACCCAGAGTCTTTTCACTGAGTTACTTCCCTGGCCCTTTTTTATTTTGGGGCTGGAACTTGGAATCCTCTTGTCTCAGCCTCCCAGAGTGCTGGGATTACAGGTGTATACCATTGTGCCTGGCTCCCATTCTAACTTTCAACTAGTACTTTCCTTTTCATATGGTAGTTAATCTCACAGGATTTATCATGTCAGACTAGTTATTGGTAACAACTACAAGGTTTTTTTTTTCATTTTAAGGATATTGCTTTAATTGTATTTCCAAGTTATATATTAGAGTTAGTTATTCTAATATTAGTTAAAATTAATATGTGATTTATAAATTATACATATTAGAATTATTAGTTATAGGGTTGTTAATGAAATGGGGGAGAGGGCATGAGGATCACTACTGGTAAGGACTAGACAGTCTACTAGGTGGTTAGAGAATTAAGAACCCGGAGTAGAGGAATATGTAGTTGGAGTTTTGTTTTGTTTCGTTTTGTTTTGTTTTTCTTGACCTATGTTGATGTTAGCTGAAGTTTTTAACTGAATTTCTTATGAAATCAGATTAATTTGGGTCAATAATTTGCTTTCACAATCCTGTATTATCATTGTATATATTGTTTGTCACTTCTTAAATTTTAGTGAGTTTGACTATAATCAATTTTTACTTAATTATGTGAAATGATTTTATTTTATTTTATTTTATTTTGTCTTTTTGAGACAGAGGTCTTGCTATGCAGTTCAGGCTGGCCTTGAGCTCACTCTGTAGCCCAGGCTGGTCTCAAACTCAAAATGATCCTCCTGCTTCAGCCTCCCAGGGCTGGGATTACAGGTGTGCGCCACCATGCCTGGTTTATATCAATTCTTTTTTTGTCCTCAGGATACCTTATGATTGATAACTTAACTAAAAACTCATTTGAAAGTTAAGTGTAATTTAGATAGTGAGAAAGCTTATCCACTATAGCATCTTGACTTTAAAATTAACCTTTATTTTCTGAGTTTTCTTAGTAAGCCAGGTATTTTTTAAAACTTTTTTATTTTTTACTTTTATTTTTTGGTTTTGGGAATTGAACTCAGGACCCTGTGCTTCCAGGCAGGTGCATGTGATGCTGAGCACCTAGCCCTTAACTTTTTTATCTTTTTAAGACAGCGTTTTGCAGTTCACCTTGGCCCTGAATTCACAGTGATCCTCCTGCCTCAGCCTCTTTAGTCCATGATGTGCCACCATGTCTGGCTCCTTTAGAGATTTTCAGTAGCAGCTCTAATATATATTAGATTTTCACATTTGGGATCATTTTAGGGGTTTCTGCTCTGTTCCACTAATCTTTCTGTTTATGCACAAGTATAGTACAACTTTAAGTGCTGTATCGTATTTATGTTACTGGAGCGGGGGTTGGACCCAGGACCTCACACTGAGCTATATCTTTTTTTTTTTTTTTAATTTTGAGACAAGGTCTTGCTAAGTTAAGTTGTCAGATTGCCTGGGCTGGGCTTGTGTTTGTGATCCTTGTGCTTCAGCCTCCTGGAGCCTGGGATTTACAGGTGTGTTATCACCATGGCTGTCCTGAGTTTTTTATTAGTAGATCTATTTTTTTGGATTTTTAGCTACTTTCTGCGTTCATCTCTACTGCATATTTTTATTCTCATGTTTTATTTTTATTCAAACTCTCTGGGATATGTGCTATGAATTTTCTTCTAAACTGTTTTGGCTGTGTGTTGTGTGGAATGTTTGCATTGTCATTACCTTTTGCAGTTTTATTTGGGCTGCTGCTTTCATCCATGAGCTCTTTAAGAGACAGTTTAAAAATTCAGGTACGCTCAAGCTGGGGATGTAGGTCAGCAGTAGAGTGCATGCCTACTTGTGTGGTTTGTGGGTTGGATTCCCAGCACCACAACAGAGAAGTCAATTATTGGTACCTTTTGTGTTTTGGTATTTATTTTTGTTTTTAGACTGTGCTACTTCATTCTGATTTTGGAAATTTATTGTAGTTTTCTTTGTGGTATGTTTAATCAATTTTTGTAAAGTGTTCTATGGGTATTTCAAAAGGTGTATTGTGCTTTCAAGGAGCATTTGACATACTATAAATGAAACCTACCTTATTAATTTGTATTTCTGCCTAGTTCTTGTTTACAGTTATTGTTTTATGAGTGGTGATATTATATATTTGGGCAGTTCATAACTATTAGCTCATCATCACAGGTAATACCTTGTGTTATTAATAAAGTAAAATAGCACTGAACGTGGTGGCGCTCACCTGTAATCCCAGTACTCAGGAGGCTAAGGCAGGAGGATTGCCATGAGTTTGAGGCTGGCCTGAGATACAGAATGAGTTCAAGCCCAGGCTAAACTACATAGTGAGACCCTGTCTCAAAAAAAAAAAGAAAAAAAAAATTAAATACCTGTTACACGTCCTTGAAGTCTTTCATTTTGTTTTACCAGTACTGGCGATTAAACTCAGGGGCTTCGCACTTAGAGTAAGAATTCCTAGCTGTTTTTTTTTCTCCTGTAGAAGACATTGTCATTAATGTCCTGGCAGTATGTCTCGCTTATCCCGTGTTTTTGTCACTTCTGACACAGTTCTGGAAGTCTTTCATGTCTTTATGAGGTGATCAGGAATGGGGGGAACGCTGCTGCTGCGCGTCACTTAACCAAGAAGCAGGCTTAGGAAAACATGACGGGTATGTCCTCATCCTCCTGACGGCTAGGCCTGACACCCGCAGCTTCTGGCCCTTCTTCAAAGTCAGAATGACTATGAAAGATGAGTGTTTCGAATCTGTTCAGGACGTAGAGGCCGCCGTGACAGCACAGCTAACGGCAGAAAGAGAACGTCCTGAGCTGCTTCAGAAAGTGGCACAAGCAGTGAGATAGGTTGAAGCAGGGGTGCATGTTTTGAGGGGATTAAAGGCAACGTGGCTTTTACTGTAATACACATTTTTAAAAACGTAAACAGCCTCAGTGTTTTTTGGCCGCATTACATACAGTCGAGCAGCTCTTAGTACATGCACAAAGATGCCGTCTTCGGTATACTCACATTTTACAGTATTTTCATCACCCTCCAGAGAAGCTGATACGTAAGCCTCCCTACAAGTTAATAAGGTAGGTATCATTTATAGTATGTCAAATGTTCCTTGAAAGCGTAATACACCTTTTGAAATACCCATGGAACACTTTACAAACATTGGTTAAACGTACCACAAGGGAGGATAATCCTCCAGTCCCCCTGAGTTTTTAGATGCCGTAAAATATAAAGTGTGCTTCTTTCATGAATGTATGACATAGTTTTAAAGACTGTCCATTCCTCTTTGAATTGCTGATGCATTTTTGTTGAAAATCAGTTGACTATATGTTGGTATTTG